GTTTCTGTGCTACATGGTAAAGCCTTAGTGAAATTCAGTGAGACCCATTCCTGCAAATTCCTTTGGAAAATCGCACTTATACTCCCAGGTCACTTAAGACATTTTCCAAACAGCTAATTTTTACTGAGACATAGCTAACTATAAGAAAAATAAATAAACAAATAAACTCCTTTTTTTTTTTTTTTTTATTAGAGACCAGAAGAATGAAGAACATGTCCAGGAAGCCTGTTTTAATCTTTTGTGGTCCATTGGAATCTGCTTCTTTTGACCACAGTTACCAAGATAAAGGATCTGAATGTGAAATTTCAGACCAGTGATATGACAGACAGGGGAAATAATTCTGCACCCATCATAACACACCTAGATCAATTATACCTGTAGTAGCTGTTTCAAGATAGAGCGAGATTCAATGCAGAGTACCCACTGTAAGTCCAACATCCCACAGCAGATGCTCCTTCCTGTACTCATCCTGTGCACTCATGAGTCAAAATATCCTTTCAACCCCTTAAGAAGAGGGCTCTCCAAATGATACATACTGGACAAACACTGTTTTGGTCCAAATCACATTCCCACAAGTTGTGATTCCCCTGACCACTTACTAGTATAGCACCCCAAAGAATCTGGTACTGCTGATGACAACCCCATTGAGAATACCTGACTCAGAGACATTCACCCCATTGACTTTGCCAGGATTTAGGGTTCTCACCTTGTATCTCACAACAGGGAGAGAAGCAAACACAACTATAGTAAGTAGAAGGAGAAAATGAATCTTAAAATCAAACGCAAGGCAACCAAATACGCCTACAAGCATACTTTCTTCTTTGCTACCCTAGGTCATGACCCTCATTCAAAGGAGGAAGGAAAGAAACTGTCCTTTCATTATTAATTTTGCTGTGCCATTCAGGAAAACAACACTGATACCACCATAAAACCACAGTTTCAGTTGCCACTAGTATTTCAGCCAAATGCTAATGACCACCACCAATTGTCTAATATTTCTCATTACCTCTTTAGTCATGGTAACAAATTCCACTGCAGCTTATACAGGGTCTGATTAAAATCTTCTCTGGGTGAAAAAGAACCAACAGTAAAAAAAAAAAACAAACCCAGAACTACCCCTCTTCTACTGCAGTACTGGACCACTTCATTTTTAGATAGATAATAAAGCTGCATTCAAAAACTATGCAGTTGATGAACATTGTTTTAATTTCTGAAACAAAAAACACCAACGATGTCACCTGAAACAAAACACGGATAAGAAAAAGCCTGTGTATAGACTGCTGCATCATTAAAATTGGATTGAAAAAAAAAACAACAACAAAAACCAACACAGAAAACGATTCATCATACATAACTTCAAAGATACTTGGTTTTGTAATACACCTATAAAGCAACAGCATGGGTCACATCAGTATGATTTTTAAAAGTAATTAACAATTCTATTCATTTATTTATAACTTACAGAGGACAAGATAATTCTGATGCAGAATCTGAATCAATACAGCACAATAAACTGCACAGCTTGCATCACACACCTGTCTGGTACACGCCCACAAAGCAGCAGCATTAACAAGATTGACTAAGGTTAGCAAGCAGCACTTGGGAGATCCAAAGTTTCAACAGAGTTGGGAACAAAGCCAGGCGCAGCACCATGGTGTCTCCATGGCGAAGTCAGAGCACAGAAGGACGCAGCCCACACACTGAGACTCATAGAAATCAAGGTTACTGCTTACTGCAAGTCAGACACAGACAAGGTCCCAGGATACAGAGCATGTCTCTTCAGCAGTACTGAATACTGTGAGCATATTAAAACTATTTATTGCTATTTCTGTTGGCTCTTTCAACAGAATGCCAAGACACCTTAAGCTCTAAGACTTTATCCTGAACATGCAATGGGCTGAACCCAGCATACACAGAAGAGCCTTAAGAATGAAGGTCACAAATTGACTCCACAGATCCATCAGGGCTTGTGTAAGAATGAAGAATTAATTTCCACAAGTACTACAGGCAATTACACACCTTCCCTCACAAAAGCAAGACTCGTTTTTATGACCAAAAAGTATACAAAACATAGCACTGCAGAAAGTTTCTTTTTCTCTTTCATCCTTTCCCCAGGGCACAACTGTTAGGTGTGGTTTGTCATCCCAGTTAGTGCAGCACTGGAACGCATGCCACTGTTCTATCAGAAGGGCTGCAGAAGAATGTACAGACAGAGGGGAGGGAAGACACAAGGCCAACTGGCATTCACCTGGGGGTTTTTGAGAAATACTTCAAAAGCAAATATTCCAACAGTTTTTCCGTTTAGTGGAATGGTTTCTCTGACTAGCTTTTTTCAGCCCTTGGGTGTGATTAAATCTCTACTCTACACACCCCAACTCTCTCAAACATAATTCTTACACTAAATCTTGACATTTATATTATTATTTTTACAAATTAATCTTTCTCTATGGAGTGTACTATAATGCTCTAGGGAGGCTTGTATGTTCCTGTGAGACTTGCAAGAGTTTTGCCAACAGGTCTGAACTCCTAAACAGATCAAAGAGAAAGCAACAAGATAAAAAGAAACAGGGTTCTCCAGACAGGTCAACCATCTCCCCTCAACAAGAAAAAAAGGATGGTTCACAGAAACAATCAGGTTTCAAATTTAGAGGAATTATGCCTTAAAATACTATAGATGTCATTCCCGTACTACTGGCTGGTTTCAGTGAATAGGAGACCAATAGTCTCACGTTATGCTTTAACTGATGAGTTACAATTTTAGGCTGTACAAACTTCATTGATATGGAAGAGTCCAAAAAGCCACACAAGCCTCACAGAGAAAGTAAGCCAGAACTGCCTACCTATGTCCACTACTTTAAAGCATCAGAAACATTACAATGTTGAGAATGCTAAGTGCAAACATACATATGAAATTCTAAAACAGATTTGCCAAAAGATTTGATAGCCAACTTTTCTTCCAATCCTGCTGCTTCAAACGTTCAACAAGCTAGGTGGCCAAGCAATAGCACAAGTAGGTCTTAAAGCCAAAACGAAATTAAATGAAGCCAACAGTGATGGTTTATTTCAGCAGAAGATGAGAATTTATACAAGAGATATATAGGTTCATATCTAAATCTAAAAAAAGAAATTAATAATAATTATTTACAATGTTATACTCAATATACAAATTTATCTGTTTACCCTGTTTTTTCCACATCCTGACTTCCAACCTAGTTTGTCAGAACACATAGTTTTTGATCAAAAAGCACTGAACCGCTGTGACACTTTTTACAAGTAGAACAAACAAACAAATAAAAAATGTGTTGAACTGCTTTAGGCTTTGCCTAAACTAGGATGAAGTAGAAACAATGCAAGTGGCCTCACCAATGAGAAGAGCAAAAAAATATTTTATTCAGCAAGGTTGGAATTTCAAGAGTTTATAAATATATATGCTAAGGATCTTAGTGTCTGGCCAGACCCATTTATAGCCTAGAATCATTTTATGCAGCAAACCAAAATGCTACACTCATTCCAAGTTCACAGATAGCTAATACAGCTAATTAAAACAGCAGCTAAATTACAAGTATAATTGAAAAATTCCCTAAAACAGTAATAGCAAATTATCAAATTCTACATCATTGATTACACAGTAAATACTCCTACTCCTAATTTTAATGATCTCATACATCATGAAAGTCCTACAGAATCACTCAAATAACGTTATGCTTTTCAGGATATATACCATTTCTAAGGATATAATGTGCAGAAAACCTAGCAATTGCATTTACCTCACATTAGGCTCTTGGGAAAAACAATTTTCCGCATCAAGAGTCAGATCTGCAGTCAGAATCATGCATAGATGTACGTGTTGAATTCCAGGAAGAACTTATAAATTAAAACTGAAACTACAACACTGAACATTTCTGAAATCTTAAGATGGATAGTGAAGAATGCACCGTGTGCTTTAGCAGCTTGCTAAGGAATCCTTCTAGTCTTTTAAAACAAATGCTTGTATTTGCTTACTAAATATGCACCTTGATCATATGCAGCATGACATCAGAACAAGCATCTGACTTAAAAAAATGAAGCTCAAAATCTCAGTGGCAATGTTTTCTATGCACACTTTTTGTTTTCCTCAGCTTTTTTTGTTAGATCTACTACTCAACTTTAAAATAATACACAATTTACTGGCCAGGAGAACTGTGGAGGTAAAAGAAGGTGGGGAGAGGGGCAGAAAGCAAGAGGACCAGGTTCCAGAGGAAACACAATTACTAGATACACAAACGTATTTTGTACACACTGAACACACAGAATAAATTTTATACACCACAACACAAAGAACTACTTCAGAAATAGATAAGAATTTGAAGCACTGGGTAATTAAAAATACCAGAAGGCAGCATCCTTACAGGGAAATAAAATGAAAAAGCACAGTAACCACCACCACCTTTTTTATGCTTGTGTACTTTTCCCTCTGTATGTAGGAAAAAACCAAAACTCTTGAGGAAAAAAAACCTTCCACACACAGACAGGGTCACACAAGTTATGAAAGAGATACTTAACAGAGGCTCCTGAGCAGATGACAAGCTATTAAGCTTTCACCTTTAGGTAGTTAGGATGATCTGATGTCTCTTTTATGATACCTCCCCCTTTTTTTAATTAAAATCTACAGTGTGTTTAACAAGCAATTCTTCCATCAATCTTTGATGTGTTTTACTTATAAAGCAGTGACAATTTTCAGTTCAGGCTCCTTAAAGTTCCAGAGAAACCATTTTCCACTCACTTGCTTTGAAAGCCATTATAACAATTTGATGAAGAACAGCAGCAGGGGGCTAACAGAAGCCAAGGCTTAGTAACAATCTTTAGATTTTTCTTCTAAGACTTTCTCACAGACCCTCCTCACAAAGATCCTCAGCGCTTTTCATCCTCTCCTCACAACCTCCCCAAAAAGATCAGTTCAAAGTGACTGTTCCTGGAGCAACTAGCTCCAGATTCTGATATTTTCTTAATTTCACTTTTACCTCTCAATTTTGAGAGACTCAACAGGAATCTGATTCCCATAATGGTGGTCATGTCCTCATCCTTTTCCTGTTGGGAAAAAATAATACACAGTAGGAGTCAAGAAGTAACTTGGGAACATCTTCTAAACTGTTATCTATTCTAAAGAAAGCACTGGCAAAGACAAATATACCCATTACTTAAAAGTCATATACAACTGGCATTCAGTTAATCAAATTAATTAGTGATTAACTGATTAATGATTTAGATACAGTTCAATGTTTTACTGCAGTATTTCTGAAACCTTCATAATGACAGTGACCCTGTAATAGTTTAATTTTTGGAATATAAAGAACCATGCAAGGCAACTGCAAATCATCTTCAACTACTCTTTAAAAATGGGAACTGTCTGTAACAAATGCCAAGTTCTTTGGTCATAGCTTCATGCAAATGTAGAAATCAAGTTTTATGGAAAACAGAACTATTAGGATAGAATCACTAAAGCATATTTTTTAATCTCTGTCTTTCTGTGCTCACCACCATTTTATTTCTTTATTATTATGGCCACTTGAAGGACAATCTTTGTTGATCAGTAATTTCGGGGAACTTCTGAAACTCCAGAGCTCTACAGATTCTTTAATTGCTATATTCAAATGATGCCACTGCGGTCAAAACACCACACATGTAATTTCTGCAACAGGAACAGCTACTTCCATGAAGCAGGACATAGCTATTCACCCCTGTCCTGGGTTCAACAACCCCAGATTCTAGTTACAACCTCAGTAGACATGGCTAGGAGCAAACATGGACTAACGGAGACCAGATACATTGCCTCCTTGAGGACAGGGGCAGCACATATGAGAAATCTGAGGTCAGAAAAGACAGATGGTGGGGATGCTCATTACAGCCAAGTCAGCCCTTGTCCTTACACTGTTAAGCTTTATGTTTTCCAACTGGTGACTCTCAGCATGTGTTTCTACTTTATTTTAGCAAGCTTGTATTTGTAAAACAAACTGGGAGAATACACTGTGGAATAAACTTTGAAATGTCTGATAACGTATCAGTACTTTCTCAGAGCAACATTAACTTTCTGCAGCACTCCCTTCTGCTAAAGTAATACACTATTAAAATGTTAATGAAATGTCTGGGGGGGGGGGGAGTTAATGATATTTTCTTTAAAAATTAAAAAAGGCACACACAAATTCTAAGTCAGTGAACTGACTTATAATCCTGTCAGTAAGCACATAAAAAGTTTTTGTTGGCTTTGAGATAATTATATCCCAAATATTGGATAAAGAAGATCCATTAATAATTTAAACTAAAGAAGTTTCAAGAAGTACAGAAACAATATCCTGAGGAACAGGAACACTTGTGTATAATTTTCTACAAGGATACAATCACTTTACAGAATTGAAAAAATATAAGGCTGAAAAGACCTCACAAGATCACACAGCACAACTCTCAGAACAAATATACATAAGTGCTATGTTACATAATATAGGCCAGATACAGAATATGCATCTAAGCATTATCCAGTCACAGCCTCCATTCAGCCTGTTCCATTATTCAAACTCTTCAACCATTTGTCTGATGTTAGGATTAAAATAAATACTTGCAATACTGTATATGTAATTGCACTGTAAGATTGTTGTGCTTGAAGTACATGACCTGGAGTTCATCATGAATGCTACTGTGGAATAATCATTTAATCAAAATTACCATTAGCATTACTTCTTTCTACATTAGTTTTCAAGTATTAATGCTTACTTCTCCAGGAGGGTAAATTTTTCCTTTGCCAGATTTTCTATTTTCAGAGAAAGAACATCTCTCACCTTTAGGAGTTTAGCCTCATTTCCCTATAATGTATTCATCACCGCTCAGCACATCTGTCCCAGCAAATCCCATTTCCTGTTCTATTCATGAGGCTCAGCAACCTGGAGATTTAGCGATTGCTGCCACACTTTTCCCATGGCCTTCTCACCTCTTACTCCCCCCCACGCACCCCGCTCCCATTGTTTATCATCTGTTCTCCCCTGCTGCAAACTGCTGTCAGATGTTCACTTATCCCTAATCTTACTTACTGCTTTTGATATTCTTTCTAATCCAACAACCTGTCAACTGGGGCATCAGCCCATGTCCAGACCAGCTGCTCTGTCACAGGCCATAAGATTCCCTCTCAGCTCCAAGAGGTATTTAAAGGATTTTGACACAGCAACCACAACGTGAAACAAATAATTAATGCTGTTTTGATCAGTGATCAGGACTTCAGTGTGACATAAGCTGACCAGTAAGAAAAACTGAGCTTTACTTTGTTTAAACTTCAGTAAACTTTAGCGTTACTGTATTAACAAGATTTTGATCAATGTCTGAAGGCCAGTACCAAAAAGCTAAGTTCTTTAACTTGTTCTGGTTAAAATTATGAAGAACAACTAATCTGAATGCAAGTCAGAGGGGCAGTGAACATTCTCTGCCTGCTGTTTAAAACATGCTTATCAATGCAACATCAACTTGTGTAGAGTTTTCAAAGCACAGGAGCTGACCTTTTACAAGTTACACCTGAAAATACAAATGTATTTTAAATATGGCAGCACTTGAGGTAATTAAAACACACTTGTATTTTCAGGAATGTAATAACACATATCCCATATATATATCCCATGAGTTTCATCCCATATAGAAATCAAAACCAGACATTTTAAAGAATACTACCATTTACAGAAAATGTCTAATTTCCATAATATTCAGATTTGCTATAAACACTTAAAATGTTACAGTGTTCATCTGCTTTAAAACATACCAAATAAACATAGTGTCATTGCTGAAATGATTCAGATGACAGATATTTTTGTACTGAGAAAATTAAGTTTCTGCTATTTAAGCAAACATATGTATTTTGATCCAAACTGGAAAACAAATACAGCACTTAGTTGTTGAACAACATGAACATGATTTTACTTCTATGATCTACAAGAGATGGTACCAAACAAGTAAAATAATGCCTACTTTATACCATGCAGTACTTGTATTTCACAAACACATACAAAATACTATAAAATCTCAGTGATGGATTTTATAACATGGCTCATTCACTTCAAACTAAACCAATTCTATTCTTAGGGCTTGTCTATACCAGGACAGTAATAAAATGAAGCCCAAGTAAGTGCTTTGATGAACTTGAATTCTGCTAGTTAAAACTCCATTAAACCCCCGTGTGGACACAGTCATTCAGTTGAGTTTACTGCTCCCTTAGGGCATGCACTGGAAAGTTAACATGGATTAAGGTAGGGTATAAATTCAAAGTGCAATCATACTTTGAAAATGGTTTAACATAAACAGAACCAGACTCTTTGTTGTAGAATGAGACGTGGAGTTAATCAGGGAAGTCCTGTGTAGACAAGCCCTTGCAGATGAGGCGACTGGAATGGTATTGTCAAAGCCAGTGGTTTTCAACCTCTTCATCTGCAGACCTGGAGACATCTTCCAGTGAAGCTGCAGACTTTGGCAGTACATTAAAATCTGCTGATTGATCTGCTTTTCTTAGCTGACTCACATGGATGACCTACAAGTAGTCTAACGGCACTCTATGAGCTACATATCAGAACTTGAAAAATACTGGTTTAAGCTAACTACAACTTACGTACCTCTTCCTAATACTCAATCTTAATTACACAGCTATTGCACAGTAACCCAAGTAACCTAGCTACTGATTACATTAAATGAGATTTTAATGTTCATTTATGCAACTGTAAACACATTTTCAGCCCTGTGCAAGGAAGTTAAAAAAGGTTAAAAAAGTTTTAAAAAGCCTTATGCTTTCCCGTAAGTGACATGTGCATAATATGACTGACCTAAAAATGCATTGTTTTGTCACAGCCAACTACTTTTCACATATTTACTTCAAAAACCCTACACTCACTTGTCAAAGCATGCTGATAGAGAAATTAAGGTTAATACAACATAATATTTGCTGAAAAAAAACCCAAGTATTAGTGTTGTTTTCCACTACTAATCTTATTAACAAATTCTTCTCATTTCCCCCTTTAGCAATTCATAAAAGTCCCATACAAAAATAACTTGTACAAATTTCCAGAGTTGAATTCAAGTTATATGACAAAGCAGAAGCAGATACACCTAGATTCCTTAATTTCTTCTTTTAAACCTGTGCTCTAATTGCAAAGAGCACTGCTTCTCCCAAAGGAAATTATGCTCCCTCAGTATTTAATTCCCTAATATTTCAGTTTTCTTTCACCCACATAAAAGAATTATACTGCGCTTCAACCATAATTCCAGTTAACACAGCAGCCATCAGATCAGTCAGATCAAAAATATGTCTCATCCAGGATTCTACCTCTGGCAGAAACCAAAGTGCCTAAGGAAGAATATACTGTTAAAATACTCTCAGCCTCCTGCAATTTGCAGCTCAGGGACTTCCTGAGCTAGAAGCAGTTATGTTTGCATTTAAGATTAATACTATGTACTGACATAATAGACTTGACAAGCTGAAGAAAATGAGACAAATTCTGCAGCAAAAATGGCATCTCCTTTTATTGCACTGCTTTGAAAAAAATGAACTACAAATAAATATATTACTCAGTAGCATATTTCCTACTACTAGAGCCTTTTGAAGATTCAACAGAAGACTCACTTGTTTGAACAGGTAACTTAAAAATCTGTTTACTCCCTCAACAGCATCATTTTTAATTGTCAAAACAGAAAAGAATGTTTTATGTTTAGAAAAAAGCAGACGGAAGTCCCAGAGAATGTTTCAGGCAGCTGGGCACATTCATGTTGCAATTTCCATACAAAAAAAAAAAAAAAAAAAAATTTTGAATGCAAAATCAGATTGTTAATGTTATTGTAACACTGCACTGCTTTGCTTTTTTCATCTTCAAAGATTTCAAGATACTAATGATACAGGTCTCACTTTTTTCTGCATGTATACATATTTTAAACTTCATGACATCTCCAAGACAGTTAAATTGTAAGGCACAGAAACAGAGTGGTTGCTCATGGTCACACAAGAAACCAATAGTCAATCTAAGGTTAAAAATAGAAATTCCTTCTTCACTGATGAATTGCGCATTACTGCT